CGCGCTTTCCATTCACTGCTGACCAAAAAAGTTCGGATGTCAGAGCAGGGTCTAGGTCTTCCTCTTTGTTGTCTCCGTCTTTTGGACCCTTTTTTCTGTCGAGTTGAATTGAGTCAATGGATGTCTTGTAGGTTTGTCCCAAACAATTGCAGACGTTGAATCCCAGCACGAGGAAACACAACACTGAACCCAGTTTCGTCCATTTGCCAGGAGCTGGCACTTCAGGTTGAGATACCAACAGCAGATTCTCAAGCGTTGAACCTGCCCAACGAACATGATAAGATTATTTTCTGTCTATTAGTCTACTGTGAGCAGGTTGTTTTAAAACAGAAGATGAACATTAAATTGGTCCCAGAAATTGCACACCACTCACATCACACTTGGCACTTTTTTGGAGATTTGACAGGGTAAGAGTTCTCTTTGGTTGAACCTTTGTGATAAATGGAACACTAGAAACACACAAATGTTATTTTGTATACATCCAGCCTAAGCGCTCAACACCTTCCTCATGTGAGTTGCAGCACTTGGAATTTTCCGGGTCGCAGTAGTGTGTAGGCACATGCCCACGCAGATTTCCATTCCAAGTAGCCTTACAGCCGCTTGTTTCTGGCCAATGAACAGACTTCATTCTAGATAGAAGAATTGAAATTGAATGACTGAATGATGATATAACACCATGATAAAGGTCGCAGAAAACACGAATCTGTGAATTTTGGATTACTCTCTATGGGCTGTAGGCTGTATGTTAGACTTTTTGAAATACTCTTGTGATAACAACTCGATCATATACACTGAGTGAGTCACACACTCTCGTTTAGCCGTTATATCTTCCAAGCTTTATCTTCCAGTCTATGGTCTACATTGAGTCTACATGTAGTCCTCACAAGTCAACTCTGATGCAGTACGGTCTGGTCCATAGTCAGTTGGGTCTGGTCATACATTTGCGTATCATCACATAAGAATTTGATATATAAAGTCTAGTCAATACAGATGCATAGTCCCGCCTAAAAGTCAGTATCAGTCCTGTGACAGCATCAGCATAATCATGAATCTGAATCATGAATCATTAGCCAGAATCATCGGCTGTGGAATCTCAGGTAGGTACTGTGTATGTAACATACTTACAAGTTTAGTTATGTTCTGTTATGGGTTAGTTATGAATAATAATAATTATTATATTATTATATAAATTATATAATTATATGAATATGAATCATATGAGTCATTAACTGGTGAGTTCTGTAAATGCATGCGCACTGCATGCTGCATACATACAGTACATGATTATTACATTATCATTATCGTACACACTGCATTAGTAATGCTGCGTTGGCAATGGTATCAATCAATGAGACAAAGACTGTCTTTGGTTCGTAGTCTGGGTGTGTAGTCTGTTAGTCAATTAACTTTATTGCTCTGCAATTTAAGTTCGAGGCAGCCAAAAAATATAACAAAATGATTGCATCCTCCAACCAAGATACGAAGAACTCATCTAACTTCTGTTGAAGCTTACTTTTCTCATCCGGTGGACGTTCTGCTGTGGAGGAATCAGAAGTAGACGTAGAAGATGCTAAACGAGCAATGCTACGCTGCAAACGGTCGGATGACTCAAGAAAGCTTTTCAATTCCAGCGCGTGTTCTGTCCATCCTGAATTCCCAGTATGTCCCGAATGGATTCTGTGAACCTCCGCATTTTCCCGAATCCAGTCCCTAACCGCCTGCTTCAAGCGAACCCAGTGTCCCCCTGTTCGAATGAAATGAGTGAAGCTGAAAAGCAAAGACGAAAGGCTGTTGCCAGGAGGGCTAGCAGTCAGAATAAGGCTTCCTTCAACTAGATTGGTTTGATGATTCCTACATTTGATGAGTTCAATCATTGGCCCATGCCGTTCGGTTGTCAGAAAATAGTGATACAAACGTTCGTTGCCAGTCGCACCATCAAGTTCAAACAAGGTCATGTTCTTGTTTCCAGTTGCCTTGATGGCATCCAGCATACGGTTTGTGCCCTCGAAGAACGGGTGCCGGATCATGCCGTAAAACAGATTCGCCGATGAGTCTGAAAGTAGCAGTATTGGAGGCATAACCTCAACAGTCATCCCTTGAAAAAATGTGTCGCACACACACTCTGAAAGGGGTTAGAGTCAGAGGTTCCAAAGCCAGGTTCCCCATTTCGGCAACTTGTGAAAACATCATGAATCATTATCATTATTATTATTACTATAGCATACCCTGAGCTATTAAGACTATTGCGGGTACAGTAGTTGTGACAGTGGCCAAGATGATTTTTTCCCTGAGCAACTACCGAACGAGGCAGATCCATATGATATGTCATATGTCCATATTACAACCAAAGATATGATTTATATAATATAAAAATAGTATCAGTATTAATAGTATCAGAATGTCTAAATAATTATAGATGATATATGAATTATGTTTTGATTCTATGACAAATTGCTTACTGTATATGATGAGATAACATGATATTTAGTAACTTACCTATAGCCTATATCATATAAATATATATTATGTATTAGAATTGATGTGTATATGATATTTGATTCGATATGAGATATATTGATACATTGATATATGATAATTATCATGGTATATGATATATGATATGATTCGTATACAATAGTATAATATAATAATAATATATGAAGTTGTTATATATAATTGTAACTCTAGTATGTTGTACGTACTGTAAATCTACACCGCATTCGTCTTCGGGACAGAAACTTGGTTGAAGTGTCTAACCCCACATGGTAACGTTGCAACAACATTGGCACACTGGCATCCGTTGCACAACCACAAGTCCCGTTAATAGCTACAGTAAAATATTGCTAAAATAGACTATCAACCTTTGGGGTTTCAAAAGTGGTCTCTTGATAATAGATTGCGTTCCCCCTTTTATAAACAAACTAATGAATAGAGATGGAGAGAAAGAGAGAGAGAGAGAGAGGGAGGGGAAAAAAAACACACAGCAAGAGAGATGGAGAGAACGAGAGAGAGAGAGAGAGGGAGGGAAAAAAAAAACATACACAACAAACGAACTAACATTATATACCAGTGTTTGCATGCTAAGAAACCAAGTCCATCGAAAGTGATGTCTGGTTCCAGAAGATCATGATAGATACCTTTTGAACCATCACTTTCCAAGCAGAGCGGGAAGCCGCACCACCAAGCAAATTCACATTGATGTCTTGCGCTGTCTCATCCCAAGCATGTCGCACTGCGACCGTCACGGGTGGATTGCTCTTGCACAACGCAAAAACACGCGCAGCAACTTGAATTTGTTTGGTCATGACACTCGCAGCTACAGTGGTACGCATCAACTGAACGGTTTCTCTGGACATGTTGAAATGCGTAGCAATATGCCCCACTAAACGGAAATGATTCTTGGCATCCTTCTCACCAAATGCCACCTCCAAAAAATCAGTCATGGAAAATTGCCGTGAGTACCTGTTGCCCTTTCCAATCTTCATCTTGGCTTGAAGAACAAGGCTTCTTTTTGAAATTTCAGAACTGCGATTTCTACGCTTCACACGTTTGACATTGTAGGCCACACAGTGTTTGCCAGTCTTGTGTTTCTTTTGAAGTGCAATCAAGGCATCCAAAACAGTTGATTCATCAGTACGGATTTTCTTTTTGGCTTTGCAGAAATGACGGTACCAACTGAGTGCTTTTGGACAAACTCGCCAATCGAGCTTAGTTTTCTTCGAGTTGTGCGTAGGTAACGTATGTTGAAACACCTCTGGGGGAACCTCCACCAATGCATTTGACCCTGTAACTTGTACTGGTACTTGAGGAGAGGAGACCTGAGCTAACTCAGACCCCACATGTTCGGGCAAAGCCAAGGAATCAGCCGAAGCATCAGCATCCAACCCCAGGCACTCATCAAACATCTCCAGGAAATCAACGCCCATACCAAGGTCAAACTCATTCTCCATATCAATATCCATGGCATCAGGCCCGGGTGAATTCCCCTACACCCAGAAAGCAACAATGTAGCAACACCTTAAGCACATTTAAACACATTAGATGCTTTAACATTCCATTCTAAATTAAAGATATTATTGAAATAACTGGTTGAACACATCTTTGAACTGGTTGCAATGGTCTGTCTAACTTCATCACATGGTTGCTAAGATTGCTGCGCTTGCCGTTGCAAATTTCAAGTAGGCGACAAACCAGTCAAAAGTCCAAACGAAATCCTAACGAAATCCCAACGAAATCCCAACGAAATCCTAACGAAATTCCAACGAAAAAAAATGGTGAAAAATCTTGTGGCAAAACATTTTGCCACAGTGACCCAACGAAATTCCAACGAAATTCCAACGAAATTCCAACGAAATTCCAACGAAGCAAAATCACCCAAATCCAGTTATACAGGGAATCATTGCAAATGGTCGAATATCATGGTAGAGCTACGTAACAACCTATATATGCCTATGCTTTTCCACCAGAGAGCCACGTTTCCTGCCAGGTCTGATGGTTCTTCGTTTCGTGGGTTTGCATGTTTCGGGGGAACTCCGTACAACTCCGTACAATTGTCAAATTAACAATAAATTATGAACCAAACAGCCCTGCTGCCGGCAGGAACATGCAAGATGGGTTTGTCATGGGTTGTCTAAAATGTTGAAAGATCATTGATGATCATTGGAAAAACCCTAAATCCATCTAAATCCAGCCTTTAATTTAATCATCATTTCTGAACCAACATTGTCATAAGTTGATGGTACATCACCCATTTTCAGACCCAGATCATACCCTGCAGTCCGAGGAGCACTCCATGCGTCATGCACTGCATCGTCTGTCTCCAGCGGCCAGTGGGGTTGAAGCAACACGTGTGCCAAGCGCCCCATTGGATCTGAAAATACAGGTTCTGCGTGTTGAAGCTGTTCGTCGAACTCCCAAAAAAAGGAGGTGTCTTTTTTGGAAAAGTTGTGTGTCATTCCGAGAATGACTTCTAGGTCCTAGGTGCTGGAAGCGCTTCCAGGTCATAAATCGAAGTGGTTGCCACTGGCATAGGCAGACTGTGATGCTGCTTCCAGCTGAACATCTGGGTGCCATGAAATCACCTTCTTCAAAGGCTCATCAAACCACTTAAGATTGACCTCTTGAGCCGCACAAAGAGCCGGATGATCCGACGGCACACATGGTGCGACCCAGGACATCAGCGATTCTGTGCCAAGGTACCATTCACCATCTCTGCGCACCTCAATGGCAAATCAGCCGCTGAGCCACACTGTTCTTCAGCTCAAAGAATCAAAGAAAATGCACAGAAAGTTAGTCATACATGTTTTTGTTTCCTGGACTTCCATTTTGACTCCCAATTTTGCGGGGTTGGCTTTTCTGGTGGATGTGTTCACTGATTTCAATGGAAAAATGGGAAAAAAAACCCTCCGCCTGTGGTGGCATGCACCCCAGGGCATTGCCGGAGTAGTTGGTCAGGCAGCTCGAAATCTGACGGCGCTTGGTATGCTTGGTGCGGGAGTTGGGACTACAGGTCCTCAAGTGTGACCAACAAAATGTTGGTTGGTGGTTTTAACCATCTTGAAAAATATGAAAGTCAATGGGAATGATTATCCAATATATGGAATGGAAAATAAAATTCATGTTTGAAACCACCAACCAGAAATGAGTGGATTTACAACTAACAATCTCTGCCAAAAATATTCTGACCAACAATATCTGCCAAAAAATAGGCTACCTTTTCTGCCTCAGACCTGGACTTGTGAAATTTCGCAATTCAGCATCACTATCGGTGCGGCGAACGATGATAGCATTCAATGGCATGATGTAGGAAATTTGAAGGAATCCACTGTTTTTTATGTCTTCACCATGAAATGTAACGGTTTCACCATTGATTTTTGCTGACACCAGGCAATGTGCCCTGAGATTTGAATCCATATCACACTCATCATTGATATAATTGTTGATGTGTATATAATATATATCACATCATCATAAAGTGTATCAAAAAGACATTATAATAGTTACTTAGCTATATAAACAACTGGCATAAACGATTGGTTTCTATCATGTACCCCTCATCCTTACTTTATCCCTCCCTGAGAGCCCGCCATGTCGGGATCCACTCCAGTCATCTGGCAGCGAGGCGACCGCACCGGGGCTTCAACAGCTAAAGATGCTGGGGAATTTGCACCATGATTTACACCATATATATATACAAAGAAACGTGTATATACATATGATCATATGTACATATATATATATGTATATAATTGTATATATGTATATATTTATGTGTATAGTATATATATATATATATGTGACATATGTATATATAGGCTCGTCCCCGCTCTGGAACCACATGGGGTGGGGGGGGGTGGGGGTGGGGGGATGTTAACGTTCATGTGACCTTGCGGCAGGATGTTAACGTTCATGTGAACTTGCGGCAGCAGTGGATGCTACGCACATGCGGGGTGGGTGGGGGTGGGGGGGATTTTAACGTTCATGTTACCTTGCGGCAGGATGTTAACGTTCATGAACCGCGCAAACCTGAATTAGGTTTGGTAAAACTTGTCCATCTCCGTGACGAAATTTCGTCGCGGAATTAACAAGTTTCATTAGGGTCATTATCATCATCATCATTATGATGATGATGATGATGAAGATGATGATGATGATGATAATGATGATGATGATGATGATAATGACCCTAATGAAACTTGTTAATTCCGCGACGAAATTTCGTCACGGAATGGACAAGTTTTACCAACCTAATTCAGGTTTGCGCGGTTCCAGAAGCGGGGACGAGGCTATATATACATATCCATATGTGTATCTGTATTTGCGAGTGTATGTATATGTGTATATATATATACACCTACTGAAACATTTACCTACTTTTTTGTTGGGGTGAAACAGAAAAATGTATCTATGTTTCATCTGGATTAAAAAAATATATATATATTAAAAAAACAGATGTTTTGTTTCATATCCCCTATATCCAGACTATTTGGAAGGTTTTAGTTGGGAATTTAACACGTTGCATGCATTTCACTTGGCAACCCCTGGTCCAAAGTGGTGTCCCTGTGAAGAACCGAACCATGACCAATTATAAGTCAATGGGGATGGGAGTGGCGCAATGGGAAACCGCCACAAGGGTGCTCTTACAAGCAACTTCATGCAGTGGCTGCTTGATCTTTTGGCAAAAGTGCGTCCTGACCCTGATGGCTTGTTGAGACAATGTCGCATGGTGACATACCGGTTGAACTTCAATGTTCAGTGTGCTGTACAAGGCGGGTGCTTTCCTGACAGAGGAGGAGTGTTCATTTATTTCAACGCAGGGTCTAGAGTTTTTGCGGTGTTACGCTTCCTTAGCTGAAGTGATGTTCAGAGCTACAAAGCACTGGTGCTTCCCCTTGTACCCCAAGCTCCATATTTTCCACCACATTATGCTGGAGGTGAAATTCAAAGGGGAAAGTGCACATACATGTTGCAATCCAATGATGTTTGGAACTCAAATGGATGAAGATGTAGTGGGAGAGACTTCCAGCCTCTCAAGGCGGGTAAATATTAGAAAAACATAGAAAGACCAGCTTACGGGTTCTTCAACGGTATTTAGTTGCAGCATATGCTGCCTTCTCGAAGGCGAAGTTGCTTGGCTAGGAAAAAAAGGTGGTGTTAGCTGGGTTCAGAAGGATTTGGCTCCATGCCATTGGCTGTTGGAGCAACTAGGTATCGTGGGTGATGCCTGGCCATGAATGGAATCAACGATCTTCTTTTTCTGGGTGCAAGTTAAATCTACTTATGGGCCCAAAACCTAAAACCGTTTTTTTAACTATGTTTTTTCCCTGCACTACGTAACCAGAAAAAAGAAGGTATTTGATTCCGATGGTATATATATATATAATTATATGTCTGTATACCATGCAAGTGTGTGTTTAATTATAGTAATATAGTATAATATAGTAATATAGTATAATATAGTTGTATAAATATTATATAATATATCCCCCATCCCCCTGAAATTTTAAGCACCCCCAATGGTGCCATGTAAACGTGTGCAAATCCCCCGACAAAAATCAATGGTTTCTGGGTTGTGTCAAAATATGTCGAATAATGAAGTTGGAAGTTTTTAATAATTCCTGAATCAGACATGAAATGAAATTCACCCATTTGGAGTGCTTTCGCACACTAACCATCTATCGTCAGGTCCTTGTGAGGTTGCTGATCAGAATGCCCAGAGCATGAGGATGACGCATCATCGAACACTAGCCTGCTAAAAACTACAAATTACAATCAATGACAAGCAATTACCGCCAAATCTTGAAGTTTCTCTAACCGCCCCGCCAGTTGGTATCAGGTCTTGTTGATGTTTTCACACATTAGGTAGGGGAGGGCATCAACAATCATGGAGACATATTCTTTAATAAGGAGTGGAGTCATAAACTTCCAAAAACAACCAAGAACAATTATATTATATATATAATAATAATAACAATAATAATAATAACAATAACAATAACAATAATAACAATAATAATAATAATATTAATAATAATAATAATATATAATAATAATAATAAATAATAATAATATATAAAATAATAATAATAATATAATAATAATAATATATAATAATAATAATATATATATAATAATAATAATATATATATAATAATAACAACAATAATAATAATAATATATATTATAATAATAACCTAATACTACTCATCTATACTCCTAATATATCTACTATTCTCAGAACTCATCCTACTCAAAACTACTACTAATAATATATATAATAATAATAATATTAATATATATAATAATAATAAAAATAATAATAATAATATTAATATATATAATAATAATAATAAATATAATAGTAATATATATAATAATAATATATATATGATAATAATAATAATAATATATATATAATAATAATAATAAAAAATAATAATAATAATAATATATATAAAAATAATATATATATAATAATAATAATAGTAATAATAATAATATATATTATAATAATAATAATAGTAATAATAATAATATATAATAATAATAATAATATATATATATATAATAATAATAATAAATAATAATATATATAATTCTTATCTCCATAACATCAAGAGATTCTCGGTGAACTGATGGGCCCTGTTTGGATTCACCCTCCGCCTGCGCTGAGCACTCCAGCATCTTGGGAACGTTCAGACCTCTCTGATGGCTCTGAACAAAAGCAGCGGTTGGATGCCTCTGGTCATGTGGCTTAACCTCATTAGTGGCCTCAAATGTGGCTGGAAAAAGCCAGCGAAAATCGGCTTTGAATGAGAATATATGGGAAAATCATCTATAAATGGCGGTTTTAGTGGGAAAATCCACTGTAAATAGGGATTGCTTCCATTGCCATGCTTGGTTACAGGAGGGTACCACTCAAAATAGGATGGAAACTATGGAATCTCAGCGAATCCAACAACTATTTCAGCATTCGAAATAGTGATAGGAAGTGAAATATAGAATAATATAGAATAGATAATGATGTATCATGATGTATCTATATATATATAATGTCATTCCAAATCTAGACATAAAATCGATGCATCTCATCGCGCAATGGGCCCGTTAAGATTCACCCTGCTGCCATGGTGCTACAGTTTTGATCTGTGTGGAAGGTCACCTTGGCCGTTTCATCATTGGCGTACCTGAGTTCCAAACGTGCAACCCATCATGAGTTGGAGATAGTTGGGAAGAGTTGGGCTATGGGCCATATATGGGAACCCATAGAACTGTGCTGTCAATATTGATAATATTGTGCGATTTAATGTGTGATATCTTATGATATGTTGTTTTGCTGTTCTTTTTTTGTTGCCAGCAGCGTTCTACCAAAACGTGCAAATCGATTCCGGCCTAAAGCCACCAGGCATCAGGTTCATGGGGCATCCCCAATAGCTGGATGGTTAATGGAAAATCATGTTTTTCAATGGATGATGACTGGGTGTACCATGTCAGATATGTCAGGAAACCTCCAAATCTGCCAAGCCACTCCAGCACATCAAGCTCTCCGCCTTGATTTCCAGCGCTGGGGGGGGAACCTCAACCAGTGATTTCTCCTATTAAAATATCGTAACCTGTAAACTTACCAAACAAACATGATATACAATGATATAAAATGATATAAAACTACAATGAATCTTCATGAATGCCTGGCAAATCGGATGTGTTTAAAGTACATTAAACCTCAACAGGTCCAGTCTCGGGGCTCCGCAGATCTTTTTTCCGGTCAAGTTGCCACTGGGCCAGGGCCGATCGCTGTTCAAGAACCAAAAAGCCGGCCACACACCTGGACCTCGGTTTTTTCGGTCAGGGATGGTCAGGGCAGGGCAAATCTGCAAAAAAAATGGAACATATGTGGTTAATATACTGTTAATAATAGTTAATATATGGTTAATGATGGGAAATACTAATCTGGTTGGTGGTTTCAACCCTACCCCTCTGAAAAATCTGAGTTCGTCAGTTGGGATGATGACATTCCCAATATATGGAAAAAAAATGGTCCAAACCACCAACCAGATAAGAATTCTCAGAACATTAAAACATCTTAGAACATCAACTGACATCAATATCAAATATCATCAAATATGAAGTCCACCATGTTTATCGAATATTCTCAATCAACTCTTCTAAAATAGACAGACTGTAGGGATCACCAGTGGCATCACCATCTCGCTGGCAAGATGCCATACGGCACGTGCTTGTACTTCATGGCCTTGGTAAACCAAATCAGTTCCGAGCCAAGAAAAATACAGAAAAAACACATAGAAGTTCCAATGTGCTCCAAAGTGGTGGCCAATTGTTTATCACTTTTTCGCCACTCTTCGTGCAGTTTAGGGTGAAAGCCACCTTTGGTATCACCATCACCGCCATCGCCCTGAGGCAAAGCACCACCACAAAGCCAACGTCCGGTCTCCAAGCCTCGACGGGCCCCTATTCAGAACACCACTTACCCTCTGGTTATGACTAACATAGCTATTGAAAATGGCCATAGAAATCGTGGATTTTCCCTAATTAAAAATTGCCATTTTCAATAGCTATGTTAGTTTACCAGAGGGTAAATCAACCATGTGTTGCGTCTTTTTCTTCGGCGAGTCTCTAGCCATTTGGCATTAAAAATGGCTGTGTTTTTTTTGGATGGAAAATGATGGAACAGGTCGACCATCATTTTTCCAGAGGTTTCACCGATTTCACAAAAAGCCAGGCTCAAATGAATTCACCGAGTTTTCCATCAAATGTAAAATATATATATATACATAACCAATTTTGGGGCACTCAAACTCCACCAGAATTCACCAAAAGCCGCCAAAAGCCTGTGGAGAGTGAAGCATCAGCGATCGACGCCTCAATGACTTGTCTACCCCCAGAAACATGTTTTTGTGTTGGGATTTGCACATATTTGGAGAGTGGTGGAATTGCAGGGCTAAGTGGCTTGAGAATCCTACATCTGCAGCCTCAAACCCTGGGTGTTTCTGCAGCAGAAGCCCCACCAGTTACACCGTCGAATGCGCTGGGCATGCAACTCAACACAGAGATATCTGTCTGTGGTTCGAGTTAAAGATACACTTTCACCTTGACTGATGAGCTGCAGCCCTATAACCAGCCGCATTGTACCCAGTGGCTTGAAAGGATGTACTTGTTCTCCCACGCGAATGATGGCTCCCGCCGGGGAGGCATGGGCCACGGACTGGTAGATCGCTTCCTGGGAGGCATGGCCGGGGGGAACCAGCCACCTCAGCTCAGCTATACCAGGCTATACCAGGCTACAGTACCAAAACTATGCCAGGTGCAAAGCTTCAGCACATTTGCAAAACCATTTTACGACCTGGAAAATGGCATCGATTTTTGAAAAAATCCAAGGGCATCTCTGGCTGTTTCTGTTTTACGACCCTTCGACGCTTCAGCAAACCATCTGCAAATTCGAATGATCTCCCTGCTTTGGCCTGAGTTCTTTGAAAAAATATGTTACGATGTCTGTGGTGTGGTATACTGAAAAATATCTGGAATACCCTCTGGTAAGCTAACATAACTATGGAAAATTGCCAGTTTTAATGGGAAAATCCACTATTAATGGCCATTTTCAATAGCTATTTTAAATTACCAGAGGGTACCTCAAAAATCCTTAAAAACATATCCAAACATCGCGCCGAGTGTCTGATCTGTTCAAGTACCATTCCGCGCCTGTCGGAAGAGGTCGGCTGGTCAACACCCCCGCTCCGACCCGCTCCGACCCGGTCCCGACTCTCTGACCTTCTGGAAATTCGTGGCATCTGAACTCACCAATCTCACCCAAAAAAAAAGCAGCGCCGGCCTCTAGATCATCCCACTTAGATCCACAAAGGTAGGTGCTTCTGCTTGGTAAGTGCCCGATTCGTGGCTTGTCCCATAAATGGCTTCCCCAGCTACTAACGAACCAGTTAGGCACCACCCGGCCTCTAGTCATGCTCTTCTCAATAAATTGCCAGTCCTGGCAGGGTCGAATTGAAGGTACCCTTGAATGGTTTCAGAACACCAAATTCATGCGAGGACGATGTCCGGACACTTAAAAACGCAGCCACTACTGCACCAATAGCAAGTGACAGGAAACTAGACATTCGCTGAGCATTTCAGCAGCCAAGTGGTTTTGTGTCACTTTCCGTTTTCTTGATTTTTCTTGGACATATCTAAACACAAACACATACCTATATCCTCTGAACACAAACGAACTGGTTCGAAGCAAATCGCCAAGTCACATCGAAGAAGGTCTCACCTTCAGCTTTCCAAGCCAATTCGTACTCAGCATGCAGGCCTCCGCACCCTTCAGCCTCACCAGGGGCAACTGGAAGCTGCCGCTGGTTACCACAACCCCAGAAACTGCCGAGTTTCTTGCTGACTTGGCGGACAATGCTGTGTGAATGGGGTGCAATTGTTGCACGCAGATAGTAGCACAAGTCATGTCATTTGTCAGGAAATGGAATATACTCATTGGCCTCATTGGCCTCATTGGCTCATTCGCTTCCCTATATGTTATGATGATGAGTCAATACCTTTGATACCAGATTCGAGGGGATAAATGGATAAACATCCATGTCCATCAATGTTCCATCCATTTCCAAGCTATTTTGGTGTCAGAACCAGGAGAACGAGCGTATTTTTTCCAGAGTTTTTGAATACTTCTGACCCCTTGGTTTCCACCAGGGTTTGGAGGCCACCCAAACCCAGGGGTCAACCCCTAGCTCCAGAAGGCCCCAGTGTCGATGAGTTATCATCCAGTAAATTAACACTTCGATAGGCCTTGGAAGACTAGTGAAACCACTATCGGGGCAAATTATAATGATTCACTAAGCTGAAATAATGCTATTTTGGGATGATTCCCCTAACTATAATTTACCCAGCACTGTTAGTAAAGGGAATCATCCCAACTGTTAGTCAGGGGAATCATCCCAACTGTTAGTAAGGGGAATCATCCCAACTGTTAGTAAGGGGAATCATCCCAACTGTTAGTCAAGGGAATCATCCCAACTGTTAGTCAAGGGAATCATCCCAACTGTTAGTCAAGGGAATCATCCCAACTGTTAGTAAGGGGAATCATCCCAACTGTTAGTAAGGGGAATCATCCCAACTGTTAGTAAGTAAGGGGAATCATCCCAACTGTTAGTCAAGGGAATCATCCCAACTGTTAGTAAGGGGAATCATCCCAACTGTTAGTAAGGGGAATCATCCCAACTGTTAGTAAGGGGAATCATCCCAACTGTTAGTAAGGGGAATCATCCCAACTGTTAGTAAGTAAGGGGAATCATCCCAACTGTTAGTCAAGGGAATCATCCCAACTGTTAGTAAGGGGAATCATCCCAACTGTTAGTAAGGGGAATCATCCCAACTGTTAGTAAGTAAGGGGAATCATCCCAACTGTTAGTCAAGGGAATCATCCCAACTGTTAGTAAGGGGAATCATCCCAACTGTTAGTAAGGGGAATCATCCCAACTGTTAGTAAGGGAATCATCCTAACTGTTAGTAAGGGGAATCATCCCAACTGTTAGTAAGGGGAATCATCCCAACTGTTAGTAAGGGGAATCATCCCAACTGTTAGTAAGGGGAATCATCCCAACTGTTAGTAAGGGAATCATCCTAACTGTTAGTAAGGGGAATCATCCCAACTGTTAGTAAGGGGAATCATCCCAACTGTTAGTAAGGGGAATCATCCCAACTGTTAGTAAGGGGAATCATCCCAACTGTTAGTAAGGGAATCATCCTAACTGTTAGTAAGGGGAATCATCCCAACTGTTAGTAAGGGGAATCATCCCAACTGTTATTAAGGGGAATCATCCCAACTGTTAGTAAGGGGAATCATCCCAACTGTTAGTAAGGGGAATCATCCCAACTGTTAGTGAGGGGAATCATCCCAACTGTTAGTGAGGGGAATCATCCCAACTGTTAGTAAGGGGAATCATCCCAACTGTTAGTAAGGGGAATCATCCCAACTGTTAGTAAGGGGAATCATCCCAA